CTCAAACCCGAACTCAAAAAATGGCCAAAAACATATTCTAATAAGGGGGAAAGGTAGAGCATGTCAAGGTGAACAAAAAACACTAAGGCACTACGACTTTTTACGCAAGGGAAGAGGTTCAAAAGAGGAGAGAGAATGTGGCAGCCATGACTGCCATGGATTCCAGCCAAGAGAGGGAGGAAGATGATGAAAAATCTGATTTTTGTCTTTAAGATATTCTATTTATAGTAAAACCCTAAAAGTGCCCCAAAAGGGTCTCGTCGGGCCTGAAAAAGTGGAATTTGAGCCAACGAGGACAAATGGCAAAACTCTGTGAACCAAATAGAACCAATATGAGAAAATATGAATAACGGAAGAAACGGAGTCGAAAACCGAGTCCCGAGCAGAGAGATATGCCTCAAACAAGTTCAGCGGCAACCGAGGTTAGAAATCCCTAAAACTGGGGAAAATGACCGGGAGGAAATTCTAAGAGTTCTCAAGTCGATGAAAAGTGAAAATGAATCCTATTCGAGGATCTAGGCTCAAAACAAGGCATTTGGCAATAACTTTCGTTAATTGCATAATGTGCCCTCCAAAAAGTGAAAACTACACAACTAGCCTAGAATGAAAATACCTTCCAAAAATATTTTCTTAAAAATTCCTAAAATAAAATATCTTCAAAAGATATTTATGAAAAACACCCCAAGAAAAGAAAAAAATTCTGAAGAACTGTGCATCCATGCCCCTATGGGCATCGGGAGCAACTAGAGTACTTTTCTACAAAAGTAGAGATACGGATTTCGTGGAAACCACTTAGAATTAAGGTATGTGAAGTCAGAAATCAACTTCGAGCACGAAAAGTGAGGTTGTGTCAAAAAGTGACAAATGGGGAAAAGACGAAATAGGGAAAAGGACGAAAAGTTAATAGTGTCGAAAAAATGAAAATGTGGAAATGACTCGGTCCTTAAAGAAAGTTATCAATCCAAATGAAAGGGTCTCGGAAACTATTTCCAAGCACTCGAGACGACACCCTGTGACGAGAAACAGAACTCGGAAAAGAAAATTAAACGAAAAAAAATTATCCGTAAAATTTGAGAAAAAGGAACGGAATAAAAATGACCAGGTCATTACAGTAATCAAGATTTGAAATTTTTATCTGAAAAGGCCAAAAAAAAAAAAAAAAAAAAAAAAATGAAAAAATGAGAGGGAAAGAGAACTTACGGGAAAGAGAATTTTGAGGCCAAAATGGCCTCTTGGTCACTAGAATAAAATAAGTGGTGGGTCCCACCACTTAAAAGAATCAACCCTTTTTAATTTTCCACCACTAAATACATATATATATATATATATATATATATATATATATATATATGTATATTAAGTTACACCCACACAAATAACACATTCCCATTAAATTATTCATAAAATAAATGTTTATAATATGCAATGAACTCAAAATAAAATCCCCGTATGCAACAATTCCGGTAGCGGATCCCTCCCGGGATCGTCCGGCTCGAAAAATGAAAAAAATGCTAAAATGACAACCATTATATTTCTAAGAGTTTTGAACTCAAAGAAAATGCCCCAATCAATTCTCAGACACATCCGGCACACCCCACGGTGTCCAGTACGTAAAACGAGAAAACACGAAAATGCCTTCAAAAATTTTAGAAAATGGAAAACGGTAAAAACTGGAAACATTATAGAGATTGTTGGTCTCAACATCTCAAAGCCACATATCTTGAGGTTTGCTCTTTTAATGTCAAATTCAAGTTAAAAGGTTTGAGGCTATGCATTCTGGTATTGGTATCACTCACAAGGGTATTTCAGTCTTTATACGTGTGTGAATGTGTATGATCTTATTACACTTCCTTGAGGTGCTGCATTGCACCACATATCTCATAGTTTGGTTGATATACAAATATAAGTTACAACAACACGTCTTCTTTGAGGGCATTTTAGAAATTTAATTTTATCCTCAAGGGTATTATAGCCAATCCTATACGCGGTGAATGTATGGATTACACTGTGGAAGGTACATTGTATTAAATATATGTTCTTTAGGTTGAAAGAGCTCAATTCAATGTGTGCTTGACATGTGTTCCAAAGAGGGGTAATTTGGTCTTTCTAAGCGATTCTTCATTGCATGACACATTGTTCTGTGGTCCTTGAGTAAGAGAGAGTGTTGACAGCTTTGCAATTCTTGGCACCAGGTTTGGATTTAGATTTCTATTATACTTATACATGGTGTGTAAGGTAGTCCACAAAAAGGACAAATTTTGAAAGCTATGCAGGGGTACTATGGTCTATTCACCTCAAGGAATGTCAGAATATTTCCCTAAAATGATTGGTTGATGATGACTCACACTTATCTATACTAGGAAAACAAGGTTGCAGTATAAATATACTATTATAGCAGCTAGATAAAGTGTGCACCTGAGATAAGCCTTTCGAGCTAAAAAATAAGCGGCAATGTGAGGGGCTTTGAGTGTCAAGAATAAGCAAAGTATTTTTGAGTTTTAATTGTTGATTGAAGCCTAACATCTATCGCAGAATACATGTATTGAAGATTATACTTTTGATAAATCTTATGGAGATGATAGATTACTAATTTCTAGTGCAAATGAGAGGTTGAGGAGGTCCAAAGTTGCTGTGGTCATTTCTAGGACTAGAACAAGGTTCAAACAAGTGTAATTTCTTGTTTTGCATCTGCAAAAGGTGCTTATATTTGCATATTTGAGCTGCTATACTTTTTCATATCTCAAACCTACTCAAATCTTATTTTTTGATGCAAAACTACTGTCATTGAGCTTATTGTTGATACACCTTGCTCTTACATGGATGATTATCATTTGATCATGCTTATAATGATGAATTAAGACTGTAATTTCATATTCATCTCATAAAAATGACCACGTTTTTTGTGCTTTCAAAACCTTGAAAAGTAGGATTTTGAGCTAAGATAGGCTTGATTTGTGAAGTATGAAGTAACTTGCTATATCTGTGTCGTCTTCATCCAAGCAAGTTTATATGATTGATTCAAGTCTGGGAGAATCAAGTCCAGACATGTGCAGCTCTGAAATTCCAATTTTGTCATTATTATACATGTTTCTACAGAATATTGTTTAAGGCCTGTTTTGAAGCTGAAATTGATATATCATGCCTATATCATTGTGTGTTACATTTAAGCACATGTATTTTGATGATTCAAGAATGTGAGAACTCAGTACAGGCTAGAGATATTGCAGAATTCCATTTATACCCTCAGACTTGTGATACTTTAGTAATTTTGCAGAATTGAGCTATTACAAGCTAAGTTTGTTTTATCTTGCTATACACTGAGTGTTGTTGATTTTAAGTTTCATATGTTGAGGAAATACTGTGGAAACCTATTTTGAGCCCTAATTGGTATTGCATAGCTCTTTGACCTTACAAGCAATACTCTTGCAGTTTTGTATAAGGGTTTTCCGGTATTGATGTAAGGCCTTTTGATCACTGTTAATGAGATAATTTGTTGCTCTAGCTATGATCTTCATCTAAGAAAGTTCATATGTTTAAGTAGAGGCTATGGAAGTCAGTAACATATGTATTGTGAAGCTGCATTGTGAATTTACTCCTCTATCCACATAATTCAGTTTTGAAGCCTGTTATAAGCTATTAATGCCTTCTCTTGCTGTGTTCATTGAATATACCATTTGAGCAAGTGTATTTAGGGATTTCAAGGCTGAGGAAGCAAAGAAAGGGTCTGTGGTGAAGCTGCATTGTGAACTGACCATTATACCTTCATAATTGTGTTTTAAGCCTTTTGAGTACTAATATTGTTTTACCTTGCTAATATAATTGTGGACTTCATTCAAGCAAGTGTATATGGATAAGATAAGGATGTGGAAACCTAGCAAGAGCTTCTTGTGAAGCTGCACTAAAGTTTGACTATGATAACCTATCATTTGTAGAGGTTTGTGTTCTAGGGTTTCATTTGTATTACATCATAAAGCTGTGGTTGCACTCTTATTATTTGTAACAGCTTGTATTTGATGTACTTGGTATGTTGACACCTTTATTTTTTATTGAGTGAGTTGTGAGATCTATTGAAGGTCCAAGCAAGGGTGTTATGGACAGGGGAGTGTTGTGTGCACTTAGTGGAGCTATAGTGTATGTAGAGGCTGTGAAAACTAGTGTTTCAACTTGTACTAAGGTGAGTGCAGAGTGTGAGATAGGTGAGTGTGTAACTAGTGGATACAACAACTAGTAGAGATTTTATTGGCTGAGGCCAAAAACCAAGGTTTTTACATATCGAGAGGGTTTTTCTTGTATATCTTGTGTACTTGCAGTTTACTTGAGTTGTGGTTTGCATATGTATTGATATCTTGTAAGTGAACTTTAAAGATAATTAAGAAAAGAAAAAAGATGGAAAAAAAAAAAAAAAAAAACGTAGGTCGGTCATTTCACCCCCTCCCCCTCTTGGTCTAACAAGATGACGTGACATTGTATGGTCCATTGATTTATGCTCATAGATGCCCGTAGAGGAAACTTTAGTGGAGAGGAGCTGCATCCATCCATGTACATCCTCTGCTCCAATCTCAAATTTTCATGAACCTTACAATAGTAAAAATTGCATAACTGAATTCAAAAACAATAAATTCATTCAATCATAAGAAGTAGGTCCGTCAATTTCAAGTATGAACCTTACTAAATTTATACTTGTTCTTTGTGTGCATGTAATGAAAAAAAGAAAAGATAATCACATAAAACAATAAATGAACTGTAGAGAGCTTAATAAATGAACTGGTAATATTTTTTTATATATATATATAACAGACCTTCTGAAAACAGGGGAGAAGATATATGAGAATGAAGAAGATGATGGGTTGCTCAAATGAATGGAAGAAGCTTTAGGCAAAGGGGTAAAATGTTCCTATTAAAGGGCAATATTGATATTATCTAAAATTAAACGCAGGTGATGCAACAATTGGTTGGAATGTCTCTATCAAGGGTCAAGTTGCTCACTTTTAAAATTCCATATACTAATTTGCTCACTTTTATGGTACCCGAGTATTTTACTCACCGGGTGAAAGAGGGATTTTTGGCACTTTGGCCTATCATTAATGATTCAGTGTGACGTAAATAATTTTGTTTATTAAAATGGAGAGCAATTGGAAATTTTCAAATAGCTTCCTCAGCAAATTCAAACGTTAACCTTTGGAGAGGGTAATTTACCCATTATTCTAAGTATCGCGTAATTGCTTGGAAAATGTTGCTGCTTTAGCACTCGTCTTGTTGCTGTTGGACTCATCACTTGTCTTGTATCTGCAAAGCTAATTTGTTTGGTTAGACGTATTGACCTGTTCATACTTTCCTTCTCCCAACGAATCTTTCCAGATGGATCACCTAAACTGCCCATACACAGAGAATTGACACAGGCGCAAATACAAAGTGTTTTTGAATTTCAGAGGCCAGAGACTACTCACTACACCTTCATCGATTTAGCTTGATAATATTGTTGGGAGAGCGAGAGACAGGGGATTGTGCATACAGGTTGCCGGTAAAAGATCGATCATAAGATGTGCTGTTCTTTTCTTATTTATTTATTATTATTATTTGATAATTGTTATGTATTCTTGACATAACTTCGGTAGATAACTCGTCGTCTGTTTGGATGTTTCAATTTGCAGATCCATTGCCCAAAACTGAAGAGAGAGAAAGATCAATCTGACCTTCCTGTATTTGATAGGGTTGGTATACATAATAATCATATAAGATTTTTTTTTTTTTTTTTTAATTTTATTTTCAGTATTCAGAAAAGATTTAGCTTCTTAAAATTTTTGCTGATAGCTGGAAAGACACGGGACAACTGTATCTCAAATGGAGAGTGAGGCAACTCCAAGTAAGAGCAGAACTGTACCAGTAATAGACACCAAGGCAGATGCAGATAGTGCTTCGCACTCTTCATCCACATCACTTCCGGGAGGCGAATACCAAGTCTTCTTGAGTTTTAGTGATCCAGACACTCGCTACGGTTTCACCGATTACCTCTACAATTCTCTCACTCAAAATGGAGTTCGCACCTTTCGAGGCGAGATTGACAGAGGAGAAGAGATCAATAAAATCATCAACAAAGCAATCAGGGAATCAAGGATCTCAATTCCTATCTTCTCCAGAAACTATGCTTCCTGTAAAAGGTGCCTTATGGAGCTAGAGCTGATGGTGGAGTCCCAACAATTGATTTTACCCATCTTCTATGATGTCTCACCCTCCGAAGTGAAACATCAATCTGGGAGTTACGGTAAGGCCTTCAAGGAGCACGAGAAATCTGGGTTGGGATCTGAAACTATTTTGAAATGGAAGAATGCACTGAAGAAGGTTGGAAATCTCGCGGGTTGGTATCTGAAAAGAGACGCTGATGGGTAATTCTTCACTCTTGCTAAAAAAACCCTCTTATTTTAATTTATAGCATAACACATTTATAAACTTGTTGGAATTCAGTATATTTTTTTCAACTAGTGTCGATAAAATTTTATTTCAAATCAGTCTTAATTTCTGCAATAAGTGTAAGACAAATAACTCTATCTAGGACTGTCTTTCTACAGTTGCTCTTTCTATTGGTTGAAATAAATTATATTTTTAATATACTATTTTCCATTTTTATGGAATTTGAAAAATTAATCTTTTAGGACAATTTTACCCTTTTAAAGTATTATATATCTCTCTCTCTCTCTCTCTCTATATATATATATATATATATATATTTTGTAAACCTCCATTTTTTCTTTCTTCTTTTTTTCTTCTTTTTTTTTTAAATATATATATATATAAATGCTCAATGCGTGTTAACACCACAAATTTGAAGAAATAGAAAGTTGACAACTGGAAAAGAATGCTACTCTGTTGGTAGTTCCACCTAGTCACCTAAGTCTGAAGTATAGAACCGTGTAACACGTGACACTAAAGAATGAATCAAAGGTAGAAGGGATTTAGTGAGACACAAGCTCACCATAAGAGCACATGGGTCTATTACTGCCAAATGGCAAACATCGGGAAAGCCATGTGTTCATTTGTTTTAGTCATCAAGAATAGTAACTCCGTACTCCTACAATATCTCCTATTTTATAGGAATTGTTTCAGAATTATGCAAACGGTTATGACATATATTGAATGCCAAAAGTGGGCTCGGTCATTAAAGTAAACTACCCACTCCTAGTATATCTCCCACTTACCATGTAAATAGGAATTGCTCTAAATATCATGCAACTGCTATTAAGTGTTAAAGGAAATGTATATAGAAGGAATCAAGTCCAGATACATTACTGAAGAAATATTTTAGTGGTTAGTGTTAAATAGGGATGGGATTATGGGAAGTTACCAAAAATTGTGGAAAACGTGTGTACACTTATATATATATATATATATATATATATATACGGTAAAGTGCAAAAAAATCTTTTGAACTATTGGTTAGCGTCTTTTTGAGTGGGGTTACCTTCTCTTCGGTGGTTTGTCTCTTTTTTGTAGTTTGGATTACCGAGGCTGAACTAGGATAGTTCCTCGGATTCTTGGAACCCGAAGCTCTTTCCTTCAGCTTGTTCTCCACTAAGATGAGGGTGGCATGCTGAACCCGATTAGCCACGTTCTCCTCGAGCCGGATGTATTCCCGTGCCATGGCATTCAGGGTAGGCATGTCAGAAGGGGAGTACTTGAATAAAGAGGTATGAAATTTAGTGCCTTGGATTATGGTGATCTTGAATGCCTCCATGGCTGTTGTAGGGTGCCAGTCCAGTATCTTCGAAGCTTCTATGTTGTATCTAGTTAGAAAATCTTGTAGTTTTTCTCCCCTTCTTTGCCTGATGGTGAATAGGCTGGAGATCGTCTTTTTTTGCTTCTTATTGCCGCAATACTGGGCTAAGAACATAGTGTAGAGGGTCTTATAGTCCGAGATTGACTTATGTGGCCTATTCTTAAACCACTCTAATGCCGCCCCTTTAGGCTAGTAGGGAATGCCTTGCACATGAGCGGGTCATTGTGATTGTCCATGGCCATCTTTTGAGAATAATGTTCTAGGTGTTGGGAAGGGTCTCCGGTTCCATCGAACTGTGTGAAGACTGACATGGTGAACTTTTTCGGCCTCTCGACGTAGTAAATTTCATCAATGAAAGGGGTCTTTGTTAGTGATGAATTATATGCTTTGGCCATCTCTCCCGATATTTGTACCATCAACACCCTTCTTTCATTAAAATGGCCCAGGATGCCATTGGGTCATACCATAAGTTTGCGGCTTGATTCGACTTGCTCGTCTTGTACTTGTTAGTGGGGATGATTTTCTGACGCTCCGGCTTCAGTCCCCGCCCTTCCCTCTATTTGAACCTCGCTGGCGTGATCTTCTGCAGCTGCGAGGTGCGGCAAGTTTGGGGGGGTCTCCCTGAGCCTCATCTAGTGGGTTAGCTTGGTTCTGTGGCAGCTGTGCCGTGATCTACTCTATAATTGCTTGAAGAGCGTCATTTCGTAACTGAAGCTGCGCAATTTGAGTCGCGCTGGCATCATTTGCTTGGCGAAGTGCCTTAAACTGTTACTTGAACCCCTCGCGCATCTTCAGCATGATTGACTATGGCTTCTCCTGTCGACAATCCTGATCAAAGTCGCATATAAGGCCAGTAACTACTTTCGAGGGTATATCTCTATAGGAATAATTCCTATAGTCGGCACCAAAGTACAGGTGCAAAAATTAATCAACTTTAAAAACTCAAAGAATAATAGCTACACACTCAATGAAAACAATAGACTAAAAAGAATGAGATTCTAATATATCTTTATTGGAGGTCTAAGTCTCTATTTAAATAGATTCGTGGAAGGATTAGGGTTGAGGTTGCATTGCTTGACCCCCACAATCCTTCCGTAGTTGATTGTTTCCTTCTCTAAGTCTCTTTTATATCGGAATCATACTATAATCACAACTCTAGTGGTTAGTGAATCATAGATGGGCCTCTTTCATTGTGGATTATGGCTTGGGCTGAAGATAGGCAGTTGGGTTGGCGTATTCATTTGTTGGGTTGAGAAATGGAGTTTTTCCTTGCCTTAGGCTCACTTCCTTGGCCTCTATAATCGGGCGGCTCAAAAGAATTGTTGTGCAAAATTCCCTTTGATAAGGTGGTTGACTCTGACTGGGTAGCAAAATTTTCCCACCTCACTGCACATTAAAGGAAACCAATAAGATCATGGGACACCTGGTAGCATACAAGCATGCCAGATGTAATTTTTCAATTTCTCTATTCAACTACTGTTGCTAACTATTGGAAATTGTTTGAGATCATGGATAACGTGGATGAAACTTTGGTATAATGCACAAGAGGAATTCTAATAAGAAACCCCGAATATGGAGAAAAACTACCAAGTTATGAGACACTTGGCAGTTCAAAGACAAGCCAAGTCAAAGATGTAACTACTGTTGGAACCGCTGCCTTTCCATCTAGCAGTTCCAGAATGTGGGTAAATGCTTGTAACAAGCATTCAATAGAAAACCACTCCTAATAAGTTGTAGATCATGAGAACTTATGGTTTTACACATGTCAATACTATGAGAAATCTGGGGAAGACATGGGACACATGGCATAATCTGGACGTTCCACTTGGAAGCATCTCCAATTGTTGGTAGAACCGCGATTTCCAACTACTGCAAGAACCCTGTTCAACACACACAACAAATCATTACAGTACTTTGCTATTCAATTTCAATTTCATGTATCCTTACATTCCAGTAATGTATTTCAACTATATTCAATACAAGTCCAGTACTTTCTTTTCCTACTTTCCAACAAGTAATTTTCAATTCTTTCAATTGCAAGTCCAACACTTTCTATTTCGTCTTCCTTTCCCCTAGCTATAGAACTCTCCCAAAGACTTTTTTCAAGGCAAAATAACCTTTGAAGGTGGTCATTCCAGTTCTTCATACAATCGCCTGATTCCAAAATCTCCAACTGGAATATTGTTTGGAACTCCGATTTGGAACGACAACAGTTCCTGGCATGCTTGCAACCCTTTCTATTCTCCCGAAAATGATCACCTTTTTTAGACAAACATTACGATGGTGGATGGATTCCGGATATATATATATATATATATATATATATATATATATATATATATATATATATTCTTTAAATATGGGGTTTTCATTATTGTAAATTTTAATTGATTGAGGTAAAATTATGAAATTGAATTTTAGTTAGAGTAAAATTGTGCAGTTTGAGTTTTTGTTAATTTGTTAAAGAGAGATGAGGATAATTTTGTAAACAATATGGGTTTTCATTCATTAGCATCATATATATATATATATATATATATATATATATATATATATATAAAAACATATAAACAAAGAAAAAGAAAGAATTGCGAAAAAAGAAAAAAAGAAAGTGGAAAGGAAATAGTATATTTTCAGAAGTTTTTTTTTTTTTTTTCATAGACAAGGTTATCTTTACACAAACGAGATGATATGGAAGAAAGAGTCCATTTATGGTGAGGAGTCCATCCACGTTGACCTTGTGTATATATAATTAAAAGACAATTTAAAAAAAATTAAAAATTAGCTACAGTATGCATATTAGCACGGTTAATGATAACAGCTCAAGTATTAATTACAATGCCTTGACTATCAATTACATGCGGGAGAAAAAGAAAGATTTAGTAATTTAAAAGGATAATATTGTCCAAAAATATTAAATTTTCAATGTCCATCAAAATAGGAAATAGCATATTAAATATAATTTGTTTCAACCAATAGAAAGTGTAAAAGGACAGTCGCCCCTAGCACTTATCTTAAAATCAACAGATTAAGCAGAAATCATCAAAAGGGCAATAGTCTTTTGTGATGAATTTGTAATTACATTATTATCCTTTTATAAATAACCTTTTTGAATCACAAATTGCTTCCTTAATTATTGATTTGTTACCACTAAGAACAAATTTATAACAAAAGACTATTTTATCTAATTTTATTAAAATTTTTATTTCTTATCAAATTATTTTTAATATCTTTTCTCTTATATACATATTAATTCTACCATTTACCTTTATTTTATTATTAGTATCAATTTATCATAAAAATTAGAAAAAATAAATAGAATTGTAACTACCATTTTTTAATATCATTAACTTATTATTAAAACTTTACTATTTATAATAAACTTATTATACACTTTTAAATTTTTTTACCTTAAAAAATACTTTCTTTTTTACATAACATATTCATGAAAAATTAATAAATTACTTAAATAAAAAACAGCTTCTTTTTCATGCAATATATTCATGAAAAATTAATAAATTACTTAAATTGTTTTTAAAAAATTTACTTAAGATTTATTAAACAATTAATTTCAAAAATTAAAGATAAATTAATGCAAATTTAATGGTGAGTATGTCATCGAATTAGTATAATTTATTTTTTTTATATAATTTATTTTAATGAGGCAAATGAATTAAGTATAATTCAATAAGAAATGGCATTATGGTCAATTAATTAAAAATTGCCAAAGTATGGAGGTAATTTGCAACAAAATATGATAGTTCAGGAAGTATTATACACAAAATATATTTTAGGGAGTTATGGGAAAATTTAAACATAGTAGACATTTTTAATTTTTTTTTCTTTTTTGGCACTTCACCAATTTATACAGTACTCTTCAACTCATACCCTATATCTCCCTTTCAAATGATATTTGAAAGACTGAAGATTCAAGTCGGCAAGTCCAGTTTAGAGGAACTTAAGACTAGTGGGTCTTTGTTAGGAGCTTTTGAATAACCTATGGGGAAAAAATAATGCAAAACAAAATAAAATAAATCATCAATTTTTTCCCCCTCTTATTGTATACTTTAATTTCCTTTCTTTCTCTTATTGTTTACTTTAATTTCCTTATGGTCACTAATTATTTGGTCTCATTTGGCCCCCTTTGGCATTAATCAGGAATGCAGGACAACTAATAACAGAGAAGATTGTTCCAGCAGTGCTGTCAGAGTTGTTTAAATTCATGTATGAAACTAGAAACTTGGTTGGAATGGATCATCACGAAAATGCTATGATGAATCTATTACAGAGAACCTCTGACGACGTTCAAATTGTTGGTATCCACGGCATGGTTGGTATTGGCAAGACAACTGTTGCCAAATTCATCTACAACAAACTCTTGAAGGACTTTGACTGTTGTAGTTTCCTTGCAAATGTTCAAATGGAACAAGAACTCCACGGTACTCTCGTTAGTTTGCAAAACCAGCTTCTCTCTGACACACTAAATTGGAGCCCTGGGATTGCCAATGTTGACATCGGAATAACCACTATTAAGCAAAGACTTCGTAACAAGAAAGTTCTCATTGTTCTTGATGACGTGAATTCCATTTCACAATTTCATTGTCTTGTAGGAGAGCCTGGTTGCTTTGGTAAAGGAAGTAAGATTATAGTTTCAACCAAAAATAAAGGTGTTTTAAATGACCTTGAAGTTGAATGGACTTACGAAATCCCAATTATGAATGCTGTGCAATCGCTTCAACTATTCAGCAAGCATGCCTTCGACAAGGAATTTCCTCCAGAAGAATATGTTAGAATCTCTAGAAAGATTGCATCCTTTGCTGGAGGCCTTCCCCTAGCTCTCAAAACTGTAGGTTCGTCTCTATTTGGGGTAAAGGATCTAGAGAAATGGGAAGCTGCATCAAAGAGGTTTGAAGACATGCAAAATGATGATGTAGATTATGAAGCATTAATAGACACCGAGGCAGATGCAGGAGGCAAATACAAAGTCTTCTTGAGTTTTAGTGGTCCAGACACTCGCTACGGCTTCACCGATTACCTCTACAATTCTCTCACTAAAAATGGAGTTCGCACCTTTCGAGACCATATTGATCTCCGCAGAGGAGAACAGATCAACAAAGCAATCAGGGAATCAAGGATCTCAATTCCTATATTCTCCAGAAACTATGCTTCCAGTAAAAGGTGCCTTATGGAGCTAGAGCTGATGCTGGAGTTCCAACAATTGATTTTACCCATCTTCTATGATGTCTCACCCTCCGAAGTGAAACATCAAACTGGGAGTTACGGTAAGGCCTTCAAGGAGCACGAGAAATCTGGGTTGGGATCTGAAACTATTGTGAAATGGAAGAATGCACTGAGGGAGGTTGGAAATATCACGGGTTGGTGCTGGGATCTGAAGAGAGACGCTGATGGGTAATTCTTCACTCTTGCTAAAAAAAAACCTCTTATTTTAATTTATAACATAACACATTTATAAACTTGCTGGAATTCAGTATATTTATTTCAACTAGTGCCCATAAAATTTTATTTCAAATCAGTCTTAATTTCTGCAATAAGTACAAGACAAATAACTCTATCTAGGACCGTCTTTCTCCGGTTGCTCTTTCTATTGGTTGAAATAAATTATATTTTTAATATACTATTTTCTATTTTTATGGACATTGAAAACTTAATCTTTTAGGATAATTTTACCCTTTTAAATTATTATATCTTTCTCCCCCTCTTGCTTGTCTACGGGGTCTCTCTCTCTCCCCCTCTCTCTACATATATACATATATTGCAAACCTCCAGTCTTTCTTTCTTCTTTTTTTTCTTCTTTTTTTAAAAAAAAACAAATATATATATAAATGCTCAATGTATGTGAATACCACAAATTTGGAGAAATGGAAAGTTGACATGTGGCGAGTTCAACTTGCCACACCAAATTACTATTCCAACAACTGGAATACAATGCTACTCTGTTGGTAGATCCACCTAGCCACCCTAGTTTGAAGTATGGAACCGTTAGACACGTGGCACTAAAGAATGAATCAAAGGTAGAAGGGATTTAGTGAGACACAAGCTCACCATAAGAGCACATGGGTCTATTATAGCCACATGGCAAACATCGGGAAAGCCATGTGTACATTTGTTTCAGTCATCAAAAATGGTAACTCCCCACTCCTACAATATCTCCTATTTTATAAGAATTGTTCAAGAATTATGCAAACGGATATGACATATATTGAATGCCAAAAGTGGACTCGGCCATTAAAGTAAACTATCCACTCCTAGTACATCTCCCACTTACTATGTAAATAGGAATTGCTTCAAATATCATGCAACTGCTATTAAGTGTTAAAGGAAATGTATATGGAAGGAATCAAGTCCAAATACATTACAGACGAGAGATTTTAGGGGTGTTTTGCTAAAATATAGGAAATTGTCTAAAGAGAATGGGTGTTTTGCTAAAATATAGGAAATTGTCTAAAGAGAGATGGGATTATTGGAAGTTACCAAAAATTGTGAGAAACGTGTGTACACTTATATATATATATATTATTGGGTAAAGTGCAAAAAACCCCTTGAACTATTGGCTAGTGTCGTTTTGAGGGGGGTTACCTTCTCTTCGGTCGTCTGTCTCTTTTTTGTAGTTTGGATTACTGAGGCCAAACCAGGATAGTTCCTCAGATTCTTGGAACCCGAAGCTCTTTTCTTCGGTTTGTTCTCCACTAAGATGAGGGTAGCATGCTAAACCCGATTAGCCATGTTTTCCTCAAGTCGGATGTATACCCGTGCCATGGCAATCATGGTAGGCATGTCAGGAGGGGAGTACTTGAATAAAGAGGTATGAAATTTAGTGCCTTGGATTATGGTGATCTTGAATGCCTTCATGGCTATTGTAGGGTGGCAGTCCGGTATCTCCTAAGCTTCTATGTTGTATCTAGTTAAGAAATCTTGTAGTTTTTCTCCCCTTCTTTGCCTGATGGTGAATCGGCTGGAGATCGTCTTCTTCTGCTTCTTATTGCCGCAATACTGGGCTAGGAACATAGTGCAGAGGGTCTCATAGTTCGAGATTGACTTATGTGGCCTGTTCTTAAACCACTTTGATGCCATCCCTGTTAGGCTAGTAGGGAATGCCTTGCACATAAGCGGGTCGTTGTGATTGTCCATGGCCATCTTTTGAGAATAATGGTCTAGGTGTTGGGAAGGGTCTCCGGTTCCGTCGAACTGTGTGAAGACTGGCATGGTGAACTTTTTTGGCCTCTCGACGTAGTAAATTTCATCGATGAAGGGGGTTTTCGTTAGCGATGAATTATGTGCTTTGGCCATCCTCTCCCGTATTTGTACTCTCAACACCCTTCTTTCATTAAAATGGTCCGGGACGCCATTGGGTCATACCATAAGTTTGCGGCTTGATTCGACCTGCTCATCCCTCTCTTTGAACCTCGCTGGCGTGAGCTTCTGCAGCTCAAGGCGCGGCAAGTTTAAGGAGGTCTCCTTGAGCCTCATCCAGTGGGTTAGCTTGGTTCCATGGCGGCTGTGCCGTGATCTGCTCTATAGTTGATTGAAGAGCGTCATTTCGTAACTGAAGCTGCGCAATTTGAGTCGTGCTGGCATCATTTGCTTGGTGAAGTGCCTTAAACTGTTGCTTGAACTCCACGCGCATCTTCAGCATTAACTCCATCTATTGATTGACTATAGCTTCTCCTATCGACATTCCTGAGCGAAGTCGCATATAAGGCCAGTAATAACTATATACAGATTTGTGGAAGGATTAGGGTTGAGCTTGCATTGCTTGACCCCCACAATCCTTCCATAGTTGATTATTTCCTTCTTTAAGTCTCTTCCATATAGGAATCATACTATAATCACGACTCTGGTGGTTGGTGAATCACAGGTGGGCCTCTTTCATTGTGGATTATGGCTTGGGCCGAAGATAGGCAATTGGGTTGGCGTATTCATTTGTTGGGTTGAGAAATAGAGTCTTTCCTTGCCTTCGGCTCACTTCCTTGGGCCTCTATAATCGGGAGGCTCAAAAGAATTGTTGTGCAAAATTCCCCTTGGTGAGGTGGTTGACTCTGACTGGGTAGCAAAATTTTCCCACCACACTAAGATCATGGGACACCTGGCAGGATGCAAGCATACCAGATGTAATTTTTCAGTTTCTCTATTCAACTACTGTTGCCAACTATTGGAAATTGTTTGAGATCATGGATAACGTGGATGAAACTTTGGTATAATGTAGAAGAGGAATTCTGATAACAAACCCCGAATATGGAGAAAAACTACCAAGTTATGAGACACTTGATAGTTCAGAGACAAGCCAAGTCAAAGGTGTAACTGCTATTAGAACCACTGCCTTTCCATCTGGCAGTTCCAGAATGTGGGTAAATGCTTGTAACAAGCATTCAACCAGAAAACCACTCCTAATAAGTTGTAAATCATGGGAACACATGGTTTTACATATGTCAATACTATGAGAAATTTGGGGAAGACATGGGACACATGGCATAATCTATACGTTCCACTTGGAAACATCTCCAACTATTGGTAGAACTGCGATTTCCAACTACTGCAAGAAGGACTCTATAAATAGAGCACGTAGGCCTAGCATGCAAACCCTGTTCAACACACACAACAAATCATTACAGTGCTTTGCTATTCAATTTCAATTTCATGTATCCTTACATTCCAGTAATGTATTTCAACTATATTTGATACAAGTCCAGTACTTTCTTTTCCTATTTTCCAGTAAGCAATTTTCAATTCTTTCAATTGCAAGCCCTACACCTTCTATTTCGTCTTCCTTTCCACTAGCTACAGAACTCTCCCAAAGTCTTTTTTCAAGGCAAAATAACCTTTGAAGGTGGTCATTCCAGTCCTTTATACAATCGTCTAATCCCAAAATCTCCAACTGGAATATTGTTTGGAAGTCCTATTTGAAACGACAACAGTTCCTGGCACGCTCGCAAACCCTTTTCCATTCTCCTGAAAATGACCACCTTTTTTAGACAAACATTATGATGGTGGATGGATTTCGGATATATATATATATATATTCTTTAAATATGGGGTTTTCATTATTGTAAATTTTAATTGATCAAGGTAAAATTATGAAATTGAATTTTAGTTAGAGTAAAATTGTGTAGTTTGAGTTTTTGTTAATTTGTTAAAGAGAGATGGGGATAATTTTGTAAACAATATGGGTATATATATGTAAACAAAGAAAAAGAAAGAATTGCGAAAAAAGAAAAAAGAAAAGAAAGTGGAAAGGAAATAATACATTTTCAGAAGTTTTTTTTTTTAAAAAAAAAAAAAAAAAAAAAAAAAACAATATTATCTATACACAAACGAGATGATATGGAAGAAAGAGTCCATTTATGGTGAGGAGTCCATCCACGTTGAGCGTGTGTAGACAATTAAAAAAAAAATTTGAAAGTTAGCTATAGTATGCATATTAGCATGGTTAATGATATCAGTACAAGTATTAATTACAGACTATCAATTACATGGGGGAGAAAAAAGAAAGATGTAATAATTTAAAAGGATGATATTGTCCTAAAATATTAAATGTTCAATGTGCATCAAAATAGGAAATAGCATATTAAATATAATTTGTTTCAACCAATAGAAAGAGTAAAAGGACAGTCACCCCTAGCACTGATCTTAAAATCAACAGATTAAGCAGAAATCATCATTTTTATTAGGAAAAGAGCAATAGTCTTTTGTGATGAATTTGTACTTACATTATTGTCCTTTTATAAATAACTATTTTGAATCACAAACTGCTCCCTTAACTATTAATTTGTTACAAACTTATAACTAAGAACAAATTTATCACAAAAAAACTATTTTATCCGTTTTTATTAAAATTTTCATTTCTTATCAAATTATTTTTAGTATCTTTTCTCTTATATACATATTAATTCTACCGTTTACCTTTATTTTATTATTATTATCAATTTATCATCAAAATTAGAAAAAATAAATAGAATTGTAACTACCATTTTTTAATATAATTAACTTATTATTAAAACTTTACTATTTATAATAAACTTATTATACACGTTTAAATTTTTTTACCTTAAAAAATGCTTTCTTTTTTATATAATATATTCATGAAAAATTAATAAATTACTTAAATTATTTTTTAAAAAATTTACTTAAGATTTATTAAACAATTAATTCAAAAAATTAAAAATAAATTTATACAAATTTAATGGTGAGTATGTCATCAAATTATATAACTTATTTTTTTATATAATTTATTTTAATGAGGCAAATGAATTAAGTGTAATTCAATAAGAAATGGCATTATGGTCAATTAATGAAAAATTGCCCAAGTATGGAGGTAATTTACAACAAAATATGATAGTTCAGGATGTATTATACACAAAATATATTTTAGAGAGTTATGGGCAAATTTAAAAATAGTAGAGCTTTTTATTTTTATTTTATTTTATTTTTTATTTTTTTGCACTTCACCAATTTATACAGTACTCTTCAACTTATACCCTGTATCTCCTCCTTTCAAATGATATTTGAAAGATTGAAGATGCAAGTCCAGTTTAGAGGAACTTAAGACTAGTGGGTCTTTGTTAGGAGCTTATGAATAACCTAAGGGGAAAAACTAATCCAAAACAAAATTAAATAAAGGGTCAAATACAGAAAACTCCCTTGACTTATAACATTTTTCAGTAAATCCTCCTCATCTAATTTTTTATCAAAGAATCACTCTCGACTTATAACCATTTCCAATAAATACTTCTTGTCTAATTTTTAGCAAAGAACCCCTTCAACTATCTAAGGGGTTAAAAGAGTTGATATTTGGACAAAAATGCCTTTTTATTTAAATCTTAATTTTTTCGAATTTTAAAAATTCATGTTGCCCAAGAATTGACTCTAGAGGGGGGGTGAATAGAGTCAATGCCAAACAATGGATAATTTTCGCAATATATAGAAATACAATTTCTATTCAACAATTTAAGTAATTATGCAATAATCAAGATGTGAGATCAAGATATGGAATAAGCAATTAAAGCATAATTATAAGAGAGATAAGGGAAGAGAAATTGCAAACTACAACACGGCGATTTTTGCGAGGTTCGGAAACTCCTACTCCTCGGCTCAAGATCCCTCTTGAGACTTCCCAATCCAATATAGCTTCTCCTTGCGGGTGGGGAGCAAACCTTTACATGAAGCAAGACCTTGCTTCTTTTCCTTGCTAGGAGAACACCATTCTCCTAGGCTTCTTTTGGGTCACACCAACCCTTACAAGTTTGTAGCAAAGTTTGTAAATGAAATACAAGAATGAATCTCTCTCAAGATAGATATACAAGTGCAAGCTCACAAGAAATATCTCTCAAAGATTGATGTACAAACTTTAGCTCTCAACTAGAATATATATGAATATAAGTGAAGCTCAAACTCTATAAATGATATGAATGAGAGAAGATGATATAAGTGAACAATGTAAGCTTTTATAATCTCTCAAGTGAATAATAGAGCAAAAACTCTATGAAGATTAAAGCAAGAGCAAAAGCCCTTTTAATCTTTGCTAGAATCTCTCAAGATAGAATAAGAGTGAATGAGAGAGATGAGAAGATGAGAGAACAAAAGCTCTCTTGAAATGTAATATTATGTCTCTTAAAAATAGTGGTCTATTTGCTTCAGCAAAATGAGCCTTCCTTATATAGACAGCCGTAGCTTAATATGTCTGTTAGAAGTAGTTGGAAGACTTAAATGCAGAAAAGTGCCGTTGTAGATTCAAATATCTTAGAAGAGCCGGCTCTACAAAAAATTAGAGGAGGCTCCAATAAATGGGAGGCGGCTCCAATAACTGGGAGGCGGCTCCAATCCATGAAATGCATTCTACGACATAAGTTTTGGCTACTGGAGTGCAAAGAGGCGGCTCCAATAAATGGGAGGCGGCTCCAATAAAAATGGGAGGCGGCTCCAATTGATAAAATGTGCTTGCTTTAGTTTTCATGGAGGCAACACCTTGTTTTGGATTTTGACAGAAAATGGCATGACTTCAAATGGACATAACTCAGTCCATGAAACTCCAAATGAGGTGAAATTTAAGTCTAAATTTATTGCCTTGAAGTCAGCTTTCTAAATCCACTGGCCTTGCTCAAAAATTCCAAACACAGAAGAAGTTATGGCTATTTAAGTGCAACCTGGTCAGAATTTTCGCAGAGCAGAATCATGTATTTTGTGAAGCTCATATCTCAGTCATTTTTAATCCAATTTAGGTGAAATTTGAGTCTAAACTCAAGGGCTCGAAGTCAGCTTTCCAATGCCACTGGCCTTGTGTAAAAATTCCAACTACACAAATATTATAGCAGTTTTAGTGCAAGCTGGTCTGAAATTTTCTAGGCTGAAAATAGCTTCTTTTGAGATATCCATCTTTCTAGCACCTAGGACTTTGATGAATGATTCAATTTTGTTCAAGACCTATTTCTAAGAGTCTAGGGACATATGGAGATGATAAATTTCAAGTGCATTGTGTCCTAGAGTCATTTACCAAATTATGACAACAAAGGCTTTAAAGATGAAATATTAAGTTCAATGCCTTTTCCTTTTCTTTCTAGACACCAAAGTAAATCTTATGATTAATGTGCATGGTCCTAGCATTTCTAGCTTAAGTTGTGAGTTCTTTCAAAGCTTATACAAGCTTGAACTAACCCTTTCTTAGCAAAGACTTCATATGACAATATCTATCAATGAAGTGCAAAGTCTAGTACTAAGGATATAGGAATATGTGAATGATGATAATATGCATGGTCCTATAGAGATGAGCTTCAAATGGATTCATAAATACTTTGACATTGAATCCAAAACACTCACCATCCTATCTACCCCTTTTCTTCATGCATTGTTCATGATCGTTTAGGCTTGAGGTAGTATTGCTTTCTTTCTTCCTTTGAGTTGCTTTCTTGCTCATTGAAGTCCAAGCTACCTTTGGACATTGCATTTTGTTCCTTGCAACTTCATGTCTTCATTGTATCCATTTCTTTCCTTTATGTGATCTTGAGTAATGGAATACTTTGAATGATCTTTGGTGCTTCATTGAGGTCATTCTTTGAATGTGAATAATCTATATAACACTCAATGTAAACATTAGTCCTTAAACACCATTAATGGTTTGTTATCATCAAAACACCTAGATTGTCATTGGATGAAATCCTTAAGGTCAACAATTCATATATCACAAACCGAACATCCAAATAGTGCAAATAATATATGTACGGAAAACTTATAAAATAAGGATTCCAGAAATATAAGATTTCTTTAACAAAACTTCAAAACCAGAGAGAAATAGATAATCTAAAAATCTACAGAATAATCTTATTTTATTTTATTTTTTATAAAATATTTGGATTATTTGCAAATAAATAAATAAATAAATAAAATAAAATAAAATTAGAATTATTCATTTTTCATATGGAGCATAACATATAAAAAAAATTAGCCCCAATAGAGGCCAAATATTCATTTTTATTTATTTTTAAATGGTGAGTCTAAAAAAGAATAAAAAGGTTGTTGGAGTAGATTTTTAGATTGCCAATTTCTCTGTATTTAAAAAGGTTTGTTGTACAAATCTTACATTTCTAGAATCCTTATTTCATAAGCTTTCCATGCATATATTATTTACAATTTTTAAATGTACGGTTTGTGAGATATAATTTTTTGAAATTCGAGAGAATTAAGATTTAAATAAAAGGGTATTTTGGTCCAAATACTAACTATTTTACCCCTTTCAGATAGTTGAGGGGGGCTCTTTGGTAAAAAATTAGACAAAGGAGATTTGTTGGAAAAAGACTACAAGTCAAAGGGAGTTCTTTGATAAAAAATTAGACAAAGGGAATTTACTGTAAAAAGACAAGTCGAGAGAGATTTTTTTGTACTTTGTCCTAAAATAAATCATCAATTTTTTTCCCCCTCTTATTGTATACTTTATTTTCCTTTCTTTCCCTTATTGTTTACTTTAATTTCCTTATAGTCACGAATTATTTGGTCTCATTTGACCCCCTTGGCATTAATCAGGAATGAAGGACAACTAATAACAGAGGAGATTGTTCCAGCAGTGCTGTCAATGTTGTTTAAATTCATGGATGTAACTAGAAACTTGGTTGGAATGGATCATCACGAAAATGAAATGAAGAATCTATTACAGAGCGCCTCTGACGATGTTCAAATTGTTGGTATCCATGGCATGAATGGTATTGGCAAGACAACTGTTGCCAAATTCATCTACAATAAACTCTTGGAGGAGGACTTTGATTGTTGTAGTTTCGTTGCAGATGTTCAAATGGAACAAGAACGCCACGGTACTCTTGTTTGTTTGCAAAACCAGCTTCTCTCTGACACACTAAATTGGCGCCCTGGGATTGCCAATGTTGACAGCGGAATAACCATTATTAAGCAAAAATTTCGTTACAAGAAAGCTCTCATTGTTCTTGATGACGTGAATTCCATTTCACAATTTCATTGTCTTGTGGGAGAGCCTGGTTGCTTTGGTAATGGAAGTAAGATCATAGTTACAACCAAAAATAAAGGTGTTTTAAATGCCCTTAAAGTTGAATGGACTTATGAAATCCCAATTATGAATGATGTGCAATCTCTTCAACTATTCTGCAAGCATGCCTTCCACATGGACTTTCCTCCAGACGAATATGATAGAATCTCTAGAAAGATTGCATCCTTTGCTGGAGGCCTTCCCCTAGCTCTTGAATGTGTAGGTTCGTCTCTATTTGGGGTGAAGGATCTAGAGAAATGGGAAGTTGCATCAAAGAGGTTCGAAGAAATGTCAAAGCATGACGTTCGGAAAAAGTTGAGAGTAGATTATGATGCATTAAATAGCATGCAACAGCAGATATTTCTCGATATTGCATGTCTTTTTGTTGGAATGGATAAAACAACTCTATTTTACATGTGGGATGATTGTGGCTATTATCCAAAGATAGAATTTAATGATCTTTATCTCAAGTCTCTTGTGAAAGTGGGAGATGCTAATGAGTTGTGGATGCACAATCAGCTTATTGCTCTTGGGAAGAAAATTGTTAATGATGAAAATTTCTTGGGAAACCGTAGTAGGTTGTGGAAACATGAGGAAGCCCTAAGTTTGTTGAAGAAACGGATGGTAAGATCTGAATGAACCGACTTTTATTTCCTTTATTTGAATAAAGCATAGTAGGTTGTGAGATCTCAATACATTATTAAAATATTTTATTCATTGGCAGGGAACTGAACAGGTTGAGGCCTTAAGTCTTTGCTTTAAATTGGAGTCTGAAGAGAAGCCGCCTTGCTTTGGAAGTGAGCAATTCACTAGACTAGTAAATCTAAGGTATCTCCGAGTGGATGGCGCAGACCTTGTTGGGGATTTTAAACGTGTTTTGTTGTCCTTGAGATGGCTTAGTTGGCGTGGTTGCCCTCCGGATTTCAAACCAACTAATTTTCATATGAAAAATCTAGTCATTCTTGATCTATCAAAGAGTGACATCACAGAGGAATGGGGGGGTTGGAAACAAATCCAGGTCTTCTATAATAACTCTACTTTTATTCCTTGTGTCCCATCACATACTTATTTGAAACTAATCATTTGCTTTTTTTTTCAACAGATGGCCAAAAAGTTAAAAGTTCTACAAGTGTCTAATTGTGCTTTAACGAGAACTCCTAACTTTTCATCAGATACGCCTTTGGAGATATTGATTCTTCGAGGCTGTGGAAAATTAGAAAATATTGACCCTTCCATTGGCAATCTAAAGAATTTGAAAAAGCTCGACCTTTCATATACTGATATACGGAAGTTACCAGATGAAATTTGGATGTTGGAGATGTTGGAAGTGATGGATTTCACAAACTGTAGTATGCTGGACGCGGACATACCTAGTAAGATGGGAAGATTTTTGTCTTTGAGATCCTTGAGCTTTTATCGTTCCAGAATTCGAAGCCTGCCAGCTAACATTTCGGGACTCACTCAACTCCAAACCCTTAACATTGGAGGCTGCACAGAGCTTCATCCGCAGCCAGACCTTCCCTCAAGTTTAAGGATTCTGAATGTCGGATATATCCCTAACCTTACAAGTCTGGTTAATGTACAGGAATTGGAGTTGTTTAGGTGCCATAATCTTAAGGGGATGCTCGGAGATATTGGGAAATTATCCAAATTGGAGAAACTGAGGTTGCGTCATACCAAAATTGGGTCCCTACCAGAAGATATCGGTCTCCTTTCTCAGCTGAAAGCGCTTGATCTAAAGTTCTGTGACCATCTCCAATGTATACCAGTGCTACCCTCAAGTCTAGTTGATTTATCTCTAGCATATTGTCGGTCATTGGTTACGTTGCCAGATCTATCAAATTTGAAAATTTTGACTAGTTTGTACATAAATGACTGTCCGGAGCTACCTAGTAAAAACTTGCTTGATTTGTCAAGCTTAAAGAAGTTGGAAATATTATATATTAGAAATTGTTCGAGACTTGATAAGATCCGAGGGCTTGAAGGATTGGAATCACTGAAATTTTTGGATTTGATTGGTTATGAGAATGAGAACTTGCGTGAGATTGAGGGGCTTGGGGCTTTAAAATCTTTGGAAGTTTTGAACCTGTCATGTTGGAAGAACTTGTGTTGGATTGAGATTGTGGGCATAAAATCTTTGGAAGTATTGAACGTGTCAAGTAATGAGAAATTGCGTGAGATTATGGGCCTTGAGGATTTAAATTTTTTGAAAGTATTGGACATGTCAGGTTGCGGGAACTTGCGTGAGATTGCCGGCCTTCAAGGTTTAAAATCTTTGGAAGAATTGAACGTGTCACGTTGTATGGAATTGCATATGATTGAGGGCCTTGAAGATTTAAAATTTTTGAAAGTATTGGACATGTCAGGTTGCGAGAACTTGCGTAAGATTGCCGGCCTTCAGGGTTTAAAATCTTTGGAAGAATTGAACGTGTCACATTGTATGGAATTGCATATGATTGAAGACCTTGAGGATTTAAAATTTTTGAAAGTATTGAACATGTCGGGTTGCGAGAGCTTGCGTTGGATTGCCGGCCTGCAGGGTTTAAAATATTTGGAAGAATTGAACATGTCACGATGTATAAAAGTGCATACAATTAAGGGCCTTGAGGATTTAAGATCTTTGAAAATATTGAACATGTCAAGTTGCGAGAGCTTGAATGAAATTGCCGACCTTCAGGGTTTAAAATCTTTGGAAGAATTGAACGTGTCATGTTGTATAAAATTGGGTATGATTAAGGGCCTTGAGGATTTAAAATCATTGAAAGTATTGGACGTGTCAGGTTGCAAGAACTTGTATTTGACTGCCGGCCTTCAGGCTTTAAAATCTTTGGAAAAATTGAACGTGTCACGCTGTATGAAATTCCGTATGTTTAAGGGCCTTGAGGATTTAAGATCTTTGAAAATATTGGACATGTCAAGTTGCAACAGCTTGTATGAGATTGCCCGCCTTCACGGTTTAAAATCTTTGGAAGTATTGAACGTGTCAGGTTGTATGACATTGCGTACGATTGAGGGCCTTCAGGATTTAAAATCTCTGGAAGTATTGGATGTGTCAGGTTGCGAGAACTTGTGTGAGATTGAGGGCCTTCAAGCTTTAAAATCTTTGAAAGTATTGGACGTGTCAGGTTGCAAGAACTTTTGTGAGATTGAGGGCCTTCCAGCTTTAAAATCTTTGAAAGAATTGAACGTGTCAGGTTGCGAGAACTTGCATGATATTGAAGGCCTTCAGGATTTAAAATCTTTGGAAGTATTGAACGTGACAGGTTGCGAGAACTTGCGTGGGATTGAGGGCCTTGAGGCTTTAAAATCTTTGAAAGTATTGCGTAAGATTGAGGGCCTTGAGGCTTTAAAATCTTTGAAGTATTGAACATGTCAAAGTACACCTCATTGAAACCAATACCAGATCTGCCATACACAACATATTCCATGACCCAAGAATGAGATCGATGCTGCTGATTCAGTGTACAGGTATGGATTAATTTCCAATATTGCCATGGATGAAGATATAATATTTTTATTAATCTATGTGATGGTATGCCATTCCCCTTTAGTTAGATTTTTGCAAAAGGTATTTTTTCTTGATTGGTAATAATATTCTTGTTATATACCTCATTTTGGTTATGGTTTGAGTTCATGAAATATTCAACAACGTCACTTATAATCAGTACTGAAAAGCAAGTCAAATTATGATATCTCAATTGACCATCGGTCATAGGACCATGTTAATTCTCCTGTTGCTCTCCGGTTTCGTCATGTTTACTTTGAACCTTAACCCACATGTCAGATCTGAAATGTCGGCAATGATACAAATGAGTTTATTTATAATCAAACGATTCCAAGCCAATTTTGACGGTTATAAAAAACCAAAAGTTAAAAACATTTTAAGTCCCAAGTGATTGTCTGAAATTAACTGTTAGATATCTAAACTCTGGAATTAGTTAAGTAGTTTTCCAAAGTCAATAGTTAGATTGTTTACACCGACTTCGAAGTTATCCAAAACTAAAAGATGGAATATTCGAGGCCTACAAGGCTGCTTGTATTTTTTCCATGACAAGAATGTTAGGAGTTAGTTTTATTAACAGGCAGTCATCTAGCGGTATCAAGCCTCAACTTTTTAAAGGGAGATGAGGGATTCGAGTCTTAGTAGAGGCATGTGTGTGAGTACCAAGTACTAATTAAAAAAATATATATATATATATATATATATATATATATATATATATTGTAAGGAGTTAGTTATTAGAGGAGAGGAGAGGAAATGGTACAAGGCAAGAATAAGGTTGCTTATCAGAAATTAGAAATTTTAAATTGTTTGAAACCGAAAAAGACGTTTATGTGAAACCTATGAATTTTAGACTGTTCAAAGAAAAGGTTGGTTCTGTTTGATAATTAGTTATTTTAATTTTTTTTTTTTTTTCATTTTTGGTTTAATAAAATACTTGTCGTTGAAGCCTGACATGCTGCCTAATTAATTTACCTTCTACCTATATTTTTAGGTAAGGATGTCTTTAACCATGAGAGAGAGAGTATATATATAGGCTTGTTGTGCAAAGAAAAGCCACAATTCCTCCCCCTCTTGGCCGGCCACTCAATGCACTCATGCTCTCTCCATCTTCTCTTTTTCTCTGAGTTCACCATTCAGATCCATTTTCTCTCTTCTTTTAAGCTCCTTCGATTTTGATTCCGGCGACAGTAAAAATGAAAAAAGTGTTGGGCTCGTTGAAAGCTACAAGACCATCTCCTTCAATCCTTGATTGGGTGACTTTCATTTTTGGTGGGTTTTTGCATTTTCTTCCATTTGAGTTAAGGGGTATACTAATACTCTTTAATCTATGTAGGCGTGTGAGTGTGTGTAAAGCATGGATTGTTTGTGATTTCTTCATGTTATATATGATGTACACATGAGGTATATGTAGAAATGATATGTTCTATAAGATAAATTGAGGGTTTCTACTTTAGAATTGTAGAAATGGGTTTAGTATGAAAATCTACGTAATAGGTATCATTTATATGGGATATAATCACACTATTATTCATGAAGTTCCTCTCTTTGATGTGCTAATGATGCTATGTAATGTCCTGGAAATTTATCTTTTTTGGTAAGGTCTCGGACTTTTTCTGGATTTTTTTGGTGCTTTTTCTTTATTTTTGTAATTATTATTTTTGTGCTTCGTTTGCGTGTCACGTGAGTGCCGGGGACACTTCTTCAAGTTTAAAATTCTTATAAAAATATTTTAGTGCATTTCGTTATTTTTTAGTTTGCGGATCCAATAGGATCCGTGTAGGGCCGGGACCAGATTTTTGTGTTCGGGGACTTTTCCGAATTTCATTTCATCATTTCGTTAAGTGGATATAATTATGTGTATTTATGTGTGTATAAATGTGATTACATGTTGTGTGGGGCAGAAAAGTAGATGTATCAAAGTTTGGGGTCACTTTTGCAATTTAGTACAAGGAGTTGGACCAATTTTGACCACGACTAGTACAAAGGCACAAAAATCATATTTTTTTTCATTTCTTCTCCTCCATTGATCCGGCCAGCAACTCTATGTCTTTATATATCACACATTCTCTCTCTATACACATATATACAACCTTTCAACCTTTGATTTGAGGACTTTAGGGTGTGAATTTGGTTTGGAGCAAGGAAAGTTTGTTCCACTTGGCAATAGCAATCTTTTGAGACCAATCTTGAGGGCTTTTGGTGGATTTTGAATTTGAGGCTAGGGCTTGGTTAATATCTATTGAGGTAGGGATGTTTAAATCCTTAACCTTTGCCTTTTATCGAGTATCTTGCTTTGATTTCTCCTTAAGCATGTTCTCAATGGAAATATTTGAGTAGAAATGTTAGTTGTGCACTTTGATGAGAAAACTATGCTTAAATGTGACGATGCTTTATGTAATTGGGTGCCAACTTGCCTATTATGTGTAGAGATTTCCACTTTAGAATGACGTGTGTAGCTATGATGATTATTGTTGATTAAGTGTATGTTGAATTAATTTATGAAGTTGCCAAGCGTGCCAATGTTGAGTAGATAACATATACTGTCATTTTGTTTACCATGGTTATGTTGCCAATGATAAATGCATGAGCTAGTTAGACGAAATGGCATGTTTTAATGATTCTTGAAGGAAGGTTTTAACTGTAGATTTTACTTCCATACTCGTTGCATGGAATGGCATAGCATTGGAGTGGTTGTGGGGGAAAGTGAGTTGGTTTGTCAAATATGAATAAATTTTAAGGAATTATGAAATGATTTTTATAAACGAATCAGATTTCGCGAGTATGGAGCTAATACGACCTAGAGAGAGTGCGTGCCGGATTGGACGTGTAACATTGAATTAACTAGGCCCCAAATGGTCTTCGGATTTGAGGCCAAGAATAGTTAATTAATCTCGCATCGGTAAAGTCAGTTAATGGTTTTCGATATGAGTTATGTCGGTTAAGGTCAGAGTTGGGATGGTCATGCATTCACGGCATTTTTCATATATGTACATATGTTTCGATTGTATAAGGAATGTTATTGAAATTAATTTATTGTTTGGGTGTTATGAAATCCCCAATACATGACCCAGATTACTCCTTAACCCTTTTCATTAGTTGTTTGACTCAAGGGAGTCCAAAGCCTTTGCGCTCACCCATTCCCTTTAACATTTTTCAGGTCATGGCAAGGATATAGTAGACGACGCATCTCCACAAATGTAGTTGTAGGTGAAGTACTCTGGTTTTTGTATCAATGCTTACTCCAATGATGATTGTTTTGTAAAGTGACTTGATTTGTCAACATGATCGAAAGGCATTGTAATTATGTCCACAAAAGCCTCAACCTTGTAACTTTATTCTTTTGGGGCTCATTCATGTATATTTTGGGAAGTGTATATATTTATGATGGTGTCATTTTGTTTATTGATAATGATGAATGATTAAGGAGGACGTAGATTTGGACTTATGTATCTAATTTGATTAATTTTGTATAAATGAATGCATGTAAATTGATGTATAATGATGTACTTATATTTTATAAATCTATGTATGATGACGTAGATCGCTTATTTGTGTATATTAGTGAGTTGGGATAGGTGTTCGATGATCAAAATGACCAAATTCAAGCTCGGAAATAAGAACTATTCGAAAGGGGCAATAACCCTCATTTTTCAAAAATGAAATTAAACGGGTGATCGATCACCTATCATGGGCGCTCGATCATCCCGTCCAGATCAAATTAGGCATTCTGCCAGGTGGGTGGGCGATCGATCCCCCATTTTTCATTTTTTTAGAATTTGCCTCTGAACTTGAAACAATCATAACTCATTCATTTGTAACCTGAATACGGTCGTTCTTGAGCCTAGATTGTAGGATTTTGAGTCCTCTTTCCATTTGTTCTAGTCTCATTTCATTATTATGATTAAAATGATTGTTTTACCCTTGTAATACCTAGGGTTCCAGCGCGAACTCGAAGTCAGTATTATCACTCTAGCATGGTCCGATAAGGTTAGGAATGACCATTAAAACTTCATTATGACTCTTGACACATAGTAAGGTGAATAAAATTTTTGAAAGTATTGGACATGTCAGGTTACGAGAACTTGCGTGAGATTGCCGGCCTTCAGGGTTTAAAATCTTTGGAGGAATTAAACACGTCACGTTGTATGAAATTGCAAATGATTGAGGGCCTTGAGGATTTAAAATTTTTAAAAGTATTGGACATGTCAAGTTGTGAGAACTTGTGTGAGATTGCCCAACTTCAGGCTTTAAAATCTTTAGAAGTATTGAATGTGTCACGTTGTATGAAATTACGTATGATTGAGGGCCTTGAGGATTTAAAAATTTTGAAAGTATTGGACATGTTAGGTTCCGAGAACTTGTGTGAGATTGCCCGCCTTAGACTTTAAAATCTTTGGAAGTATTGAACGTGTCACGTTGTATGAAATTGCGTACGATTAAGGGCCTTGAGGATTTAAGATCTTTGAAAGTTTTGAAAATGTCACATTGTATGAAATTGGGTACAATTGAGAGCCTTCAAGATTTAAAATCTTTGGAAGTATTGGACGTGTCAGGTTGCAAGAACTTGCATGAGATTAAGGGCCTTCAGGCTTTAAAATCTTTAGAAGTATTGAACGTGACAGGTTGCGAGAACTTGCGTGAGATTAAGAGCCTTGAAGCTTTAAAATCATTGAAAGTATTGTGTAAGATTGAAAGCCTTAAGGCTTTAAAATCCTTGAAGTATTGAACGTGTCAAAGTGCACCTCATTGAAACCAATACCAGATCTTCCATACACAACAGATTGTGAGTCGTACACGGCAAAATATTTAGAAAGTTTTGATTATTTTAAAAACAGATCTTGTGTTTTTCTAACTTTCTTTATTTTAGCAATTAATAAATCAATATCATGTAATATAAAATAACGCAAAGTAAAGTTAGAGATGACACTAGGATTTTTAGTGAGGAAACTCCAGTTGATAAAATACGTCAACTATTTGAGTGGGAAAAACCTCATGGACTATGCAGTCCAAAGTAAACCCTATGCTTGAAACAAAGTACACTAAACTTTAACTCTAGCTCACACCCTATCATTCTACTAAACACCAATTGCTGACAGTCCTCGGTTTTGCGACTCTCCATCCAACAGCAACTTGAACTCAGGCTTATGCTTAATCTGTAAATGAGTAGCAAGTAGATCAGACAACACTCCTCGAATATTCCAACCTTTTCAAAGTATGATCGCTTTTACTTCTGTTCTTCAACTTATGGATTTGATGTAGAAGTAGATCTTCTTTTGTCTTATCGATGTAGATGCAATTGAATGATCACAATCAGGATTTGAACCCTAAAACTCTAAACTCACTATGTGTTTATGTGTATGTGTTCTAGAAAGACAAACAGACAATTTTTTAAAAATTTCTAAAACAAAAATCTTCCTAAGGCTTTTCAAGAATAATAAACTGATAATTCAAAAGCTGTAAATAAACCTATTAGTATTATAACGTTTATATAGAGTTTTAGAATGTCCTAGTCCTTCAGAAAATATGGTAAAATTCGTGCATAGGAAAGAAATCAGAAATAGGAAACTGAGCTTTCCATAAGCTATCAGGACTCTTGAACCGGTTTAGGAATGTGGGAACCGGTTCAAGTATGGCAGAATTAATTCAACGGCAAAGCTAAAGAGCTTGAACTAGTTTAGGAATATGGGAACTGGTTCAAGTGTGGCAGTGCAAAATAGAAGCAACTTTGAAGATGCTTGAACCGGTTCTAAAAAGTTTGAACCGGTTTAAGTCTGCCAGACTTGAATCCTAAGACTAAAACTTAGTAAAAACATTAATTTGAATATTTGAAAAATATACCAAGTATGAAACGTGTCCTAACTTTTTTAGATTTCTTCCTAAAGTGTTGTTCTTTCCTTTCTGTGATGATCTCAGTTATGGCATCTTTGAACAACCTTCCAATTCCATAACCACCGTCGATCTTATTAACTTGCATTACAAGTAACTTGAATTACAACTCAACTTGAACTTGTTTTGTTTACGATAATTGCCAAATAAAATAATATTTTACAATCTCCCCCTTTGGCAATTTCGTAATAAAACTCTAAAAACAATTTGAATAATCTAACCAAAGCAGAAAAGTAAATTACAAATTGGTTTAAAGATAAAACACGGAATATCACTGTTCTCTTCTCTTCTTGGATATATGATTTAACCTAAATTCCTGCACAATATCAAGCAACAACTACCAGTGAAGTTCAATGAATAAAAATTTATAGAAACTCCCCTTTAAGTAAAAAATCCAAAAAAAAATTATTCTCCCCCTTAACATCACATTAGTTCTCCCCCTTTTTGTAACAAATTGACAAAGTATAGAGACAAATAAGATAAGCAAATAAAACAGCCAAACATGTATTAAAGCATATACCAAGAATATCAAAAAATAATGACCATGTTAACAGGTGTATGATGTCATGATGTAAGACAAAATATCAGGCATCAGTATCTCAAAAATAATGTTAGAAGGATATCATCATTCTCATCAGACTCCGCATACATTTTTTATATTATTCATGCATCATGACGACAATACCAGTTCTAGCTTGCTTGGGAGCTTCCGGAACCTCAATTCCTTTACCTTTGGCTTCTTTAGATAATTTTGGTGCCACGTTCTACAAAAATTTTCACTTTGAAGCCTTCAACCTATCTTAGGAATTATATCAAACACTTGGTGTGCAACCCCCAAAGCGTTATAGAATTAACTTGTTTTGATCTCCAATTTCCACAAAATCAACAACCCAAAACAATAGAGTAATCCCAACAAGCAAACAAGAAGCTTCAATTTCCCATAGATCAATTTCTTAACCAATCCTCTTTAATTTCAATCCCATACTCCAATTTCAAACTTAAACCCATTTTTGAATTTCAATTCTTCACACAACTTCTTCAATCCTTGTCTTCAATCTCCAATTATCATGTAATGATCAATGTTATAGCATGGAGTGATAAAAAAGATATATTATGGATGATGTATATATATGTATGTGTGTGAGCTATGGAGCATGTAGAGAGAGAGTTAATATGGAAACAATGAAGCAAGCAAACAGGTTAAAAATCCCAAAACCTGCGCCATTGAACCGGTTCAGCCCTCTTGAACCGGTTCAAAAAGGGCAGTGTGTAATGGTACACAAACCTTGAACCGGTTCAGCCATGTGGAACCAATTCAAGAGCCACAGTCTTGAAACATAGTGTTGTTTTGAAAAAAAAAAAAAAAAAAAAAAAAAACTTTTTCTATTTTTCCCAAAAAAATTTCTAACACATCGGTGATAAAAATCCACAAAGAAAAATATAAAAACTTAAAAATCAAAAATCTTATTGAATTTTCCAATTTTTTCAATTTTTTATTTATTTTTAAAAAATAAAAAAATTAAAACAACAAATCATCAATCATTAAAATCATCCAGTCAACACATGATTCAAAACTCTTTCAGAGAATTTTAAAAGTATCTAAGAGAACAAATTTTTGACTCCACAGACTTTTCAAATAATTTTAAATCTCAGAAAAGTAATCACAACATAAAATTAAACTTGAAATTTCACTGAAAAATTTAGAAATTAATCTAGCAAGTTCATCTGTATGTGTGAAATCCAATCTAATCCATCTCCCGATGAATTTCAACAGATCATTGTCTAACCTTATTGCTCGAAAAGTATCAAGATAAATTGTTTTGAACAATTTTTCTAAACAAAGTGGCTTTAACTCTAGAGAGTAATCAGCAATTCCCCAACTCAACATATCTCCACTTTTAGCTTCAATTCACAGTCTAATGGGAGCTTTCGATCAAATCTGAATAGGTAGTCTTTTCCTTAACAAAGTATTCAGCAACTTTCAAATTTTTCTTTCTTTTCAAGCTGAATATTTTTCAATTTTTTTAAGCTCCTATTTGTTTTTTAGACAATAACCTTTATAACTTTTGTGAAAAATAAACCCTAGTCAATAAATCAAAAGATTTTCAACCAAATTTATCACAGATGGACTAGTGCACAAAAGTCTATGAACTTAAGAGATTCAAATTTAAAAATTCCCTAATCAATGCAAATCATCTTTTATTGTATAGATTACAGACCAAGAATCTATTTTTATCCAAATAATCATGTGTCTCAATTTGCATTCAAAGATAGATCATAAATTCCTTAAAAGAATTTTCACATGTATATCAAGAAGATTATGATCAGAAATTCAAAACCCTAACCAAACCCTTACAAGTGATCCAATGAAAAAAATAAAAAATAAATAAAAATAAATTCTTTTAAGCACAAGCCATGATCACTGAATTTTATAGGACTTAGTTTGAAGGTGGAGTCCTTTTGGAATCTAGTTCCATGGACTCAACAGGCACAAAATTAATTAAATCAGTCTTTTTGTTCGACACAGTCTTAATTCTCACTTTTTGAAATTCTCTTTCATTCTTTACCTCTTTCTTTGGCAAATTTACAGCTTAAGAAAACT